CCTTTCGAGTAGCCAGAACTACAGGTGTGCGCTACCATGCCCAGCTAATTTTTTTTTAAATTGCAGAGATGAGGTCTCGCCACCTTGCCCAGGCTGTTCTTGAACCCGTGGGCTCAGGTAATCCCTTCACCTCAGCCTCCCAAAGTGCTAGGATTACAAGCTTGAGCCACAGCGCCCAGTCAGCTACTGCATTTTTTTACAACTGAAGGTTTGTGACAACTGTGCGCCAAGCAAGTCTACTGATGCCGTTTTTCCAGCTGCAGGTGCTCGTTTCCTGTTTCTGTGCCACATTTTGGTCACTCTCACATGATGTCAAATTTTTTCATTATTATTGCATCTGTTATGGTGATCTGAGATCAGTAATCTTCAATGTTACTACTGTAATTGTTTTGGGAGTCACAAACTGCGCCCATACAAGATGGTGAACTTAATTGATACACATGGTGTGTTCTGACTGCTCCACCGACCTGCCATTCCCGTCTCTCCCTCTTCTCAGGTCTCCCTGTTCCCTGAGACACAACAGTGAAATTAGGCCAATTACTAACCCTGCAATGGCCTCTAACTGTTCAAGTGAAAGGAAGAGTCACATGTCTCTCACTTTAAATCAAAATCTAGAAATGATTAAGCTTAGTGAAGAGGCATGTCCAAAGCTGAGAAAGGCTGAAAGCTTAGCCCACACTCCAAACAGTTAGCCAAGCTGTGGATGCAAAGGAATAAGTTCGTGAAGGAAATTAAAAGCGCTACTCCAGTGAACACACAATGATAAGAAAGCAAAACAGCTTTATTGCTGATATGGGGAAGGTTTGAGTAGTCTAGATAGAAGATCAAACGAGCTATGACATATCCTTAAGCCAAAGCCAAATCCAGAGCAAGTCCCTGAGTCTATTCCATTCTAGGAAGGCTAGGAGAGGTGAGGAAAATGCAAAAGAAAAGTTGGAAGCTAGCAGAGGTTGGATCATGAGGTTGAAGGGAAGAAGCCACCGCCATAACAAAAGTGCCAGGTGAAGCAGCAAGTGCCAATGGAGAAGCTGCAGAAAGTTCTCCAGAAGATTGAGCTAAGGTCACAGATGAAGATGGCTACATCAGACAACACATTTTCAGTGTAGACAAAACAGCCTCTGTTGAGAGAAGATGCCACCTACCACTTTTCTACCTAGAGAGAAGACAATGCCTGGCTTCCAAGCTTCCAAGGACAGGCTGCCTCTCTTGCTGGGGACAAATGCAGCTGGTGACTTTAAGCTGAAGCCAATGATCATCCGCCATGCCAAAGTCCTAGGCCCCTTAAGAACGATCTACTCTGCCTGTGCTCTAGACACAGAACAGCAAAACCTGGATGACAGCACCTCTATTTGCAGCAGGATTTACTGAATATTTTAAGCCCACCTGCCCAGAGAAAAAGATTCCTTTTGTTTTTTGTTTTGAGTTGGAGTCTCACTCCATCGCCCAGACTGGAGTGCAATGGCCGCTCTGGGCCATCGCAGCCTCGACCTGCTGGGCTCCGGCGATCCTTCCGTCTCAGCCTTCCAAGTAGCTGGAACTACAGGCGCGCGCTACCACGCCCAGCTAATTTTTGATTTATTGTCGAGACGAGGTCTCGCCAAGTTGCCCAGGCGGGTCTCGAACCCGCGGGCTCAGGCAATCCACTCACCTCAGCCTCCCAAGGCATGGGATTACAGGCTGAGCCACTGAGCCTGGCTAAAAAAAAGATTCCTTTCAAAAGATGACTGCTGACAATGCACCTGGTCACCCAAGAGCTTGGATGCAGATGTACACGGAGATTGTTGGTTTGTTTCCTGCCTGCTAATACAACATCCATTTGCAGCCCAGGGATCCAGAAGTCATTTCAACATTCAAGTCTTATTGCTTAAGGGAATACATTTCATAAGGCTATCACTGCTATAGATGGTGATTCCTCTGATGGGTCTGGGGAAAAAGTAAATTGATAAAACTTCTGGAAAGAATTCACATTCTAGTTGGGCTCACGCCTGTAATCCCAGCACTTTGGGAGGCGGAAACAGAAAGGTCTGCTTGCAGCCAGGAATTCAAGACCAGCCTGGGCAGTATAGCGAGACTTTGCCTCTATAAAAATAAAATCAAAAAAGTTAGAGGGGTGGTGCATGCCTGTAGTCCCAGCTATCTAGGAGGCTGAGGCAGAAGGATCACCTGGGCCTAGGAGGGAGAGGCTGCAGTGAGCCATGACAGTGCCACTGTACACCAGCCTGGTGACAGAGTGAGACCTCAACTCAAGAAAAAAAAAACAATTTACATTCTAGATGCCATTAAGAACATTTGTGATTCATGGAAGATGGTCTAAATATTAACATGGGGTTAAAGACTTCAGTGGAGGAAGTAACTGTAAATATGATGGAAATAGGAAAATAGCCTGACGATGTGACTGAATTGCTACAATCTCATGATCAAACCTGAACAGTTGAAGAGTTGCTTCTTATGGATAAGCAAAGAAAGTAGTTCCTTGATATGGAAACTACTCCTGATGAAGATGCTGTGAACATTGTTGAAATGACAGCAAAGGACTCAGAATATTCCATGAATTTAGTTGAAAAGCAGTGGCAGGGTTTGAGAAAACTGATTTCAATTTTATTTTATTTTGAATTGGAGTCTCACTCTGTCACCCAGGCTGTAGTGCAGTGGCATGCACACGGCCTTCGCAGCTTCAACTGCAGGGCTCAGGCGATCCTTCCGCCTCAGCCTTCCAAATTGCTGGAACTACAAGCACGTGTCACCAATGCCCAGCTAATTTTTTGATTTATTTGTAGAGATGAGGTCTTGCCAAGTTGCCCAGGCTGGTCTCGAACCCTTGGGCCCAGGCAATCCTCTTGGAAGGATCGCCTAAGCCCAGTAGGTCGAGACTACAGTGGCTGTGAGCATGCCACAGTACCCCAGCCTGGGCGACAGAGTGAGATTCCAACTCAAAAAAAGAAATGAAACTACCTCTTGTGTGCATGCTAACTCTACCTCCCTCAGTCCCCCAAATCCAAGCTCCTGGGAGTAGAACACATTGTATTTCCTTTGTCTAAGTATCCCTTCCTCAGCACTGTCAATCACCTCAAGACCCAGTTCAAAATCTACTTCTTGTTGGCCAGGTGTGGTGACTCATGCCTGCAACCCCAGCACTTTGGGAGGCCAAGGCAGGAGGACTGCTTGAGCCCAGGAGTTCAAGACCAGCCTAGGCAACACAGCAAAACCTCATCTCATTAAAAAAAAAAAAATCTACTTCCTACATGAAGTTTATTTAATCCCCACCTACATCTTTCCAGACTTCTAACACGTCACGTACTGCTTCCAAGTTTTTATGTCTTGTCTGTTGATTCCTGTGTCTCCCTCTCTCTACCACCCCACACACATGGCTGGCTGAATGGGTGGGTGAGTGCAAGGCACTATTGTCCTTCACCTTAAACCTGAGGTTTTCTTTCCTCCTTTTCTTCCTTGTCTTCTTTTCTCATTACTTCTCTGTAGAAGAAAAGACAAAAATTGAGATAAAAGAAATTCAGAGCTCAGACTCTGAAGGAAGAATACGTATCTTAAACGAAAATAAAAAACAACATGCCCCACTTCCTGGGAGTCAGGAAAGAGAAAGAATTCTGTCGGTTCGGGGAAACAGCAGTTGGGTGCTACACAAACCACCCCGTTTCTGCACCTCCTTACACACGCTGGCCAGTTCCACTTTTGAAACTAGAGGGTGGGGAGAGGGCATCCTTAACAAGGGAGAAATTGTGGTAGAAAATACAGCAGTCGAGCACATAGCAGGCTCCAGAACATGAGTGAGAGGTGGCATGCACCGTATGGTTGGGGCTTTGGGTTTTACCTTGAAGCTTTTATTACAAAAACAGGATGCCATGGAGAGACGATAATGACACTGCTGTCTCGAGATGGTAATAAACTTCATCTGAATGTGCTGAGATAAGAATATTCGATCTAATGTGGACCTCAAGCTGTTTTTTTTTGTTTTTTTTTTTGAGTTGGAGTCTCACTCTGTCATCCAGACTGGAGTGCAGTGGCCACTCCCGGCCACTGCAGCCTCGACCTGCTGGGCTCCGGCGATCCTTCCGCCTCAGCCTTCCGAGTAGCTGGAACTACAGGCGCTCACTACCGTGCCCGGCTCATTTTGATTTATTGTAGAGATGAAGTCTTGCCAAGTTGCCTAGGCGAATCTTGAACCCGCGGGCTCAGGCAATCCACTGTCCTCAGCCTCCCAAGGTGCGGGATTATAGGCTGAGCCACCGAGCCCGGCTTCAGGCTGTTTTTAAAGGAAAAATAAGGCCGGATGCAGTGGCTCAGCCTGTAATCCCAGCACTGTGGGAGGCCAAGACGAGAGCATTGTCTGAGTCCGGAGGGTTCGAGACCAGCCTGGGCAACTTGGTGAGACTTCATCTATACAATAAATCACAAAAATTAACCGGGCGTGGTGGCATGCGTCTGTGGTTCCACCTACTTGGAAGGCTGAGGCGAAAGGATTGCCTAAGCCCAGCAGGTGGAGGCTGCGGTAGCCGTGAGCGTGCCACTGCACCCCAGCCTGGGCGACAGAGTAAGACTCCAACTCAAAAAAAAAAAAAAAAGAAAAAAAAAATATAATGACACCTATTTTTTTTAAAAAAAGAATATTTGATCTAATGTGGACCTCAAGCTGTTTTAAAAGGAAAAATAAAATCTTGAGTTGCTTTTACTTTCAAATGCCTGTGGTTGTGTTATGAACTAGACTTCAAAATAGAAGGCCGACAGCAGGAGACCTCCCAAGCATCTACAGAGAGGCCCAGTCCCTCAAGAGGCTGAAGTGCTGATCGCCCCGCCTCTTCTGTGGGCAGGGCCCTGGGGCATCCTCCTACGCCATGGAAGAAGAGCATTCGCAGGGATCATGACCCAGTGCAGAGATCAGCTTCAGCCCTTGAAGGTAGGCTGCAATTCGAATAGGCTTTTAACTCATTCCAGATGTTAAAAATACATTGTCACTTTCATTAGGTAATAGCAAACCGACACTAAGAACTTCTGCAAGACCTTTTATATTACACAATAGAATTAAAAACCGTAGCAAATGTTCAGATATTTAAATGAGCACCAAACACTACAAAGTGCAACCAACATGGTTCTATTAAAAACTCTCTTCAACTATGGCATTCAAGGACAGCAATATAATATTTTCTTTACAAAGCAACTAATATAAAAATCTGCAGATGCCATAAGTTCATTTCTAGGCTATTCTCACATACACGTATCATTAGATATACTTTCTTTCAATTCTTTCCTGAGGTATTTTTTTGTGATTGAATTTTACTGTACTGCTGGATGCATTATCTTTGATCATCCTTCCCTAAAATGATTTTTAAAGACCTGCAAAAAATTTTATTGCATAGGACACTATTCATGACACAGAGCTCGGGAACTGCAAATAGGTGGCATGGGAAAATACTGCATTTTAAGAATCTGTTACATACATTTTTTTTACAGTTTGTCGCTTTAAAAAAATTGAAGTCATAGCTAAGACTTAACTACGTACAATGAAGTATTTTAGGAATGTTAGAGATTAGAGAGTAAGGTGAATGATACAAAGGAAAAAAGTCATCATTCTTGCTGGCTATATATTGTATTGCCTTCAAAAGCAACTGTACACATGCTGTTGTCAGTTCATAGTTAAATATTTCTACTAATCTGTTTTGGGAGAGCAAATGTCTTTCAAGGTTTCCAGCTCCTCTATGAGCTTCTTGTTCTGGACCTCCAGCACTGCGACCCGACTCTCCAGACATTTTACATATTCTTTCTTTCGACGTCGACATTCTTTAGCCGCTTCCCTGAAAAACGCACAAGCAAAAAGGCAAACAGAACATTTTTGCATGCTACTGACACAGAGATTGAAGTAAGCGTGGTAAAGTGATCATGGTTGCATTCCAAATCTTGGAACAACACTCCCAATGCAACGTCAAACACTAAGCCCAACTGGATTCCTAAGGATCACAAGTATCCCTTCCACGAGTCCACATGGCAATTAGTAGAACTGCTGCATCTCCTGCCTTGATTAGAGTTCATAGTAAACAAGGTCCAAGTCAAAGACAGTTACTCTGCTTTATGGCAATAAAGATCTTTGAGGGCCTTGAGTTCCTCAATGAGAGTCTTGTTTTGGTTTTCAAGCACAGCCACACGATTTTCAAGACATTTGACATATTCTTTCTTCTTCCTGCGACACTCCCGGGCAGCTTCCCTGGAACCAACACAAGGCAAATGACTACAGGAACAACCTCCCGGCACAATCCAGAGTGACTCAATGAACTTCTGACCCCCAAACTCAACAGCCAATCAATCTAAGTAAGGTTTGCACAAAGCCACACAGCAAATGTAACCAGGCACATGCCGTTTTGTAAGATACTGTACAACAGGAACTCACTTGAGAGCACAATTGCCCAGGATTCATCACAAATGGTGTTTCCTTAGGGCACATGTTCCAGGATAACAGTGACCAGAATTGCTTTCAGTAAATGACAACAATGACAACAATCGGAACACATCCCCAATAAAATTTCTACACCAACATTCAATTGTCTTCATTATTTTGTCTGTCAAAAGCCACCTATTCCATCACAATAAGTTACTTTTATTTGACCAAAAATGATTATAAGAATCTTCAAAAACCATAAATGTCAATATTGTAGATTTTTACTCTTCAAGACTAAATCTCAGTAAAACAAAATCAATCATGACTGTAAGATTAACGGTTTATTGGCCAGAAAACACAACATGGATAAGTTATAAACAATAAACAAAAGATGGACATTTTTCTAAACCAAAATGGACACTGTTTCTGAAATTAAAGAAGAGGGTTATATAATACAACACTCAATAAGGCAGACGGTTTAAACCCACAGATGTGAAAACACCGCAGTCACAATGGAAAAGGAAGCTACTGAGCAACTCAGGAGTGTTTTTCAAGACTGTTCTCTGATCACATGCATTTACTATATAATATACTGGATTTTAAAGCACTGCAAGCCTAAAGGAAAGACCAAACCGGCAGCCAAGCAACAATACAGATAAACAGATGAGTGGAACCAGTCATTTTCATGCATTACCCCACCCAAAACTAGTGAATATAGCCATCATTTTTTCTCTCTCTCTCCTTTTGTTCAGGGTGGGAGGGGATTTTAACTACTTAACACCTCTATGGAAGATACCCTCCAATGACACCCTTATTTTAGAGTACTCAATTCCAGAATAGATGCCTTTGGGGGCACCTTGTACTCTGCATCAAAAAAGCCTACACTGAAACAGATATTAAAATTCAAATATGTTATGACAAAAGTAATGTTCAATGTCTGAACACCAGTTACTGTAATGCCTATTGCATTGCTATAATCCTGAAGTACATGTGATACATACAACAGATTTGGCAATTTTTTTTTTTTAGGATAGTGACTCTCACTAACTGGATATCTGTGTTTTCTCTATGGGAAGCAAGAGTCAGCAGAAAACAAGTCTTGAAGTCAACCTCTACTTCCTAGCCAAGAACAATGGACCCACCCTGTGAACTCACAAAGTTCTCAGACTTCTCAACTGATTAACAAAAAATAAAAAATGTAAAAGCAAATTGATAAAATAGTTACTAATGTAATCTAAATGACATACACAGAAACATTAAGAATAAATCCAAACATACATTTCCATTTCAAAAAGTAATTCAACTCTTTCCCACAGAGAAATTAAAATTCATTTATGAATATCAAGATGTATGAAATCGTTACATCAAACTAACTCTAGAAGGAAGGGAGTCATTTTACAAAACAAGTTACCATTTAAATAAAATTTTAAAATACATAATAGCACTGATGTGGGGTGTTTAAACAATTTTATTTACCAAGCTGTTTACTATAGATATTCATACTTCCAATTTTACATTTGTGTGTGTGTGCCCAGTATGGAGGCATGTTAATAGAGTCAAAATGTCCCAAGCACAAAGCTTTAGATGATCCCATCAGCAGAGGGGACATTCCTAAGTACATCTCAACTACAGAAAACACCTGTTTCTTCTATTAATAGTCAGCTCAGCTTTCAGGCCTTGCATTTGTCTGGCTATCCTCAGCCTGGAGAAGAAACACATGGCAAAGCAGAAAAGCTGACAAGGCTGTAAAGAAATAAAAACTATAAGCTGGGTGTGGTGGTGCACGTCTGTAGTTCCATCTACTCTGGAGTTTAAGGTGGAAGGATTGCCTGAGCCCAGGAAGTCGAGGCTGCGTTGATTCATGATCATGCCACTGCACTCCAGCCTTGGTGACAGAGCGAGATTTCGACAGGAAGGAAGAAAGGAAGGAAGGAAGGAAGGAAGGAAGGAAGGAAGGAAGGAAGGAAGGAAGGAAGGAAGGAAGGAAGGAAGGAAGGAAGACTGTGGCTGGATTGTTAGAAATATGATATAATTAAATACCTACTATAGATGCCAGCCAAAAAATAAAAAGAATGTACAAGGGATCTTTCTAATAACTACTAAAACCCACACATGCTCCATGAAGTTAAGTCTGCAGCTCACAGGGAAGTCTTTTTGAGGTGACCCTGGTGTTAGGGCAATGGACTAGCTCCAGAATGAAAACTACCTGCACGTCCTGTTTCTGTCAAACCTCAGTTCCTCATCTGATAATAATCAGACCTATGTAAAGTTATAGGAAACAGCAGAAATAAAGCACTTAAAACTCATGAAATAGATATTGAGCAATCTAATAGCAATTAATAGCCATTAATCATCTGCTTTTCTCTTCTAAAATAGGCCCTTCTCAGTATCCTGTACAGTTAGGGCTTAACAACCTATTTCTTTTCTTTTCTTTCTTTCTTTTTGTTTTTGAGTCAAGAGTCTCATTCTGTCACCCACACTGGAGTGCAGTGGCACGCTCACAGCCACCCCAGCATCAACCTGCTGGGCTCCGACGAACCTTCCATCTCAGCCTTCCAAGTAGCCAGAACTACAGGTGTGCACTAGCTGATTATTTGATTTACTGTAGAGACAAGGTCTCACCAAGTTGCCCAGGCTGGTCTCGAACCCCTGGGCTCAGTCAGTCCTCTCACCTCAGCCTCCCAAAGTGCTGGGATTACAGGCTTGAGCCACTGCGCCTGGCGAGGAGCCTATTTCTAGCCAATAAAATGCAGATGAAAGTTGCTGGGAGGGTCGTCTAGGAAAAGTTTTCAGAGGGGCCAGACTCAGCCAGGCCCAAGTTTTGGCTCCAGCCCTCCTCCCTTCTTCCCTTTGATGCAATGCCTGGAGGGACAGCAGCCATGCTGTGGCTACAGAATGAATTGGACACGCAGTAGATGACAGGGCAGCCAGGAGAAACCTGGGTCCTTGACAACACTGCTGAGCCTTTGTTCTGGCCACACATACCTCTGGACCTGCCACACAAAATCAGAAAACCACCTACAAGTTTAAGCCTCCATTTCCCTTGGTTATTTGCGGCCCAAACACAAATGTGATCTAGTAGTTATTCATTAGTTATTTTTTAAAACTCAAAATTTTATGATTTTTTTTTTCCTCAGGGGGGTTGCATACGTATGTGTAGGTAGTTATCTGGCACATTTACGGGACCCACTACCTAATAATTTTTAAAATTTCATTTTGGTGTTTCTACCGAAAAAAATTGAAAATCTAGCAACAAAGGTAGGCTGGGCAAGGTGGATCATGCCTGTAATCCCAGAAATTTGGGAAGGCAAGGCAGGAGGACTGACTGCTTGAGTCCACGAGTTTGAGACCAGCCTGGGCAACATAGCAAAACCCTGTCTCTACCAAAGAAATAAAATAATAAAGGCAGAGAATAAAGACATGAGTAAAATAAGACTACCTCCTAGTTCTTCCTTTTGCTTTCTTTGAGTAAAATAAGACATCAATGAACGACTTTATAGCTTGCATTATTATTGAACTTCATATTTTTTTGTTGGAGTCTCATTCTGTCACCCAGGCTGGAGTGCAGTGGCATGTGCATGGCCACCACAGTCTCGACCTGCTGGGCTCAGGCGATCCTTTCACCTCAGTCTTCCAAGTAGCTGGAACCACAGGTGTGCGCCACCATGCCCGGCTCGTGTCTTGATTTATTGTAAAGACAAGGACTCGCCAAGTTGCCCAGGCTGGTCTCGAACCTCTGGGGTTCAGGCAATCCTCTCACCTCCACCTTCCAAAGTGCTTAGATTATAGCCATAAGACACTGCGCCCAGCCACACTTCATGTTTCTAAACTAAACTTCACAATATATATTCTATGATCAGAGAGGCAACTATATTTGTAGCTCCTGAGATCGTGGTGCAATTTTAAATCCCCATATTCCTTCATCAGCTCTACGCTAGGGATCTTTCATAACAAGACTACCATAAAACAGCTGATGCTGTGTGTGCCCCGCCCATTCAACCCCATCAGGATTTCTGAGCAGAATGTTGACAGTAACAAGTATGAATTCAGGCCGGGCGAGGTGGCTCACACCTATAATCCCAGCACTTTGAGAGGCTGAGGTGAGAGGACTGAGCCCACAGGTTTAAGAACAGCCTGGGCAACTTGGCAAGATGTCATCTCTACAATAAATAAATTTTAAAAAATTATCTGGCCGTGGTCGCGCATGCCTCTAGTTCCAGCTACTTGGAAGGCTGATGCGGAAGGATCACCTGAGCCCAGCAAGTTGAGGCTGTGGTGGGAATGAGCATGCCACTGTACTCCAGCTTGGGCAACAGAATGAGAGACTCTAATTCAAAAAAGAAAAAGAAAAAGAAAAAAGTATGAATCCAGCACAACTTGACAAACCCGGAACAAGCACTGAGGAAGATGTAGCTATCTTAATGACCCTATTTCTGATGATCTGTTGAGTTCTCCACTCTACCTAATGATCTATGATAACTAGTAAGTTTGCAAACAGTAGCCAACTTTAGGATTCCTATAATATAACAAATCTGTGACATTGAAAGGACTATGAATAAAATAAACATGGCTACTTCTGATCCACACTCAGCGATAAAGGACAGTGATAAACTCAGAGGCGATCAGAAGCCACAATTTCTAGACTAACTAGGTTGCTAACACCTAGTAAATGAACTATCACCACGTGGTCCCGATCACAGGAAAGCACATGAAGCCTTCTGAAATGTTTGTTTTCTTACAATGAGGACAGTAGGAATAAGGTGACAAGATTACTGGGAAACTCTGAGATGTTCTATTCATTTTGGAAATCAGATTGATTTGTACCACTCTTCATAATAAAAACTAAGTCAAGAGATAAAATACAATTTTAAACAAAATAAAATAAAAATTTACTTAAGTTTAAGTTTTTTGTAGAAATTTAGAAAACAGCTTTAATGATAGGCTACTCAAAAAATAAAATTCCAGAGATATGGAGCAAGAATAAGTGAGAAAAAATGAGAGCAAGCAGACTTGAAGCACAAATACTATAATAATAGGTAACTCTAAGTGGTAGAGCCATGGGGGGTTTTAATTTGGTTGTTCTGTATTTGTACTTGACTGGAATTTATCAGAATAAATATATATTTCAGTGTAATAGAGAAAAAAATTACAAAGTAGATAAGACAAAATTACATGTAAAAAAATAAAAAATGCTTAACTCATACTTAAATTTATTTTGTTCAATTTTTTTAGAAGCTGAAAAAATTACATTTATCCCTCACTTCACAAAGTAAATCCCAAATACAAAATAAATCTTTATTTGCAATAAAGTCCTTTTATCATTGTTTTTTAAAAAAATTAATGTTATCTTTTAAGCATTTACAACACAGAGGGAGGTACCTTCTGCTGATGAGATCACTGAATGGCTAGAACTCTAACTAGAAGACAATCTGATTATCATCACATGCAATGCACAAACCCACATGAAATGCCACATCACACTTCACCCAAGAGTCACCGCTTAGGAAAAGTGTAAGCCCCACAGTAAGAAGTTGTGTGTCCTGGAAGTGGCAGCTGAGTCCTCATGAGGTATATTACCTGTTCTTCATAAGCCTCAGCTCTCGCTTGCGTGTGGCTTCTTCTGCTAGCTGCTGGGGACTGTGCAGACTCCCCGGCGAGGCAGCCATCACTACACCCTGAGGCAAAGCAGTAGTAGGAGCTCGGATCTGGTAAGTTGGCATGTCACCAGTGGCGGCTGCAAGGAAACAAAATATTACAAGTTGGTATAAACAATTCACAACTTTATATTTTATATGAAATTTCCCTGGGAATAACCTACTTTTTAACATTTCATAAGAGGCAATCTTGTAATGTTTAAAGATGATTATTCTGAGCATTACAGCAATCTTAAGTATCAGTGATCATCTCCAGCATTTGAGAACAATGAAATTGAGCATGCTTGACACATTTAAGGTAGAAAAATGCCCTCATGCATTTTAGACAGGTTTTTACCAAAGGCTATAAAGTACACAGGCTTTTCAACAGAAAGCTCAATGTAGCCTAAAATCGGCGGCATGCTCATAAATACGTACAAAACAGCTTCCTGGGGGCAAAAAAAAAAGAAGCCCTGATCTGTAGCGTTTGATGATTTCCATGATGTAAATACTTCTCCCATGATCAATTTCAAGCTCTGAATGTGACTTCCCTTAATGGAGAGCTGGACAGAGACACGGCATAAGTAGCACACCACACAGTCAAAATAGATGTTGTAACCTCAATAGCACAGATAACATCATTAGACATGATGACTTTTGAGAGCTAATGTTGTTTTTAGTGTAATTTATTTGTGAGTATGTATGTATATTCAATTTTTAATAATGGCTATTTTCACAACCAGCTCACAAACAAACTGAAAATTTAACAACAGGCTCTAGCAAGCCGGAGGGGGCTACCTCTAGCACTCCACAACAAACATTTGCATTCAGCAGAGCACCTCCATCCACTGAATATTACAGTGAAGAGATTTTTCCTGTTCCCTGTGTCATGCCTGAACAGTTACTGAATGTCTTTAAGTACTTGTCCTTTACCAGAAAATGATCGAGGCAGAAGGAACCTAGCTCACTACAGTCTCGGTTGAAAACAAAAAACAGCAAAACTCTACTTAAAACTAGTTTCTCTGAGGAAAGATTTTTTTTATTTTCTTAGGTCTTCTGGGATAATACATTCCTAAGTATTCATTTAAAAAATTTTTTTTCTAAGTATAGTATAACCTTACAGTTAAAAAATTTAATATTTACTTAGTATTCAGACTGAATGCTAAAAGTAAGTTCTCAAAGTTTCCTAATTTATATTCAAACTGTGTCTATCTACTGCAATAAACATAGCCTCCTAGAAAAGACAGATGGATCTGAGTGATGAAACAGGCTTTACCACCAACGCTTCAGCTTTGAAAGCGTATGGTCCAGAGTTACTTTAACACTCTGATGAGATATTACAACATATAGGCTGTCTCAAAGCTAAGTGCAAGAAAAATATTTTTTAAAAGTTATTAGGTCCTATAAAAATTGGTCTGAACCAAATGCCAACCAAAAGAGGAAATACAGCATTTCTACATTTCATTAAAATGCTTTATGCCATTGAGTAAGAACTGAAATTTTGCCAATGGAAGACAAAGACTTTCACCTAAACAGGATATTATCACTAAAAACAGAAAGCAGTTTTCAAAAGTTCAGTAAAAATTAACTATCTTTTATTTGTGCTTTTATTTGGGTATATGCCGGGTTTTCTTCCCCATTAGGGCTCCAGAATTAGGTAAAAGAATAAAACAATTTTAAAATGGCTTTCAGATAAGCGAACTTAAAGGTCGTCATAGAATTAATAAAAATACCACGTATACATTTTCTACTGCTTCTTCCTTCAACATTCAATTTAAAAAAATGATGATAAATAGAAACTGTGATTAATAATCACCAACAAAACCTCAATTAATAAACTTGGGAAAAGTCCTAAGCTTGTTTTTATGACTATTCAGAATGCTCTATACACAAAAGTCTCAAAATGTGGCAAAGAAAATTGGATAGCTTTGAAATATTTAAGAGGGTCATTTAAAAACAGTTAGAAACCAACTTAGTAAAAGATTCTTAAAAATCCTAATCACAGTGTTAGAGGAGATGGTAGAGCCGAGCACAGAATAACACAGCTCTTCCCTTCTTTCTCTTTATCCCCATCCAGGGAAGAAGGTTATGGGATAATAAAGGCTGAAACAATGGGACAGCTGGAGGCCACACAGGTTTTCTAAAACTGGAACAATAGCCAGTGACGAATGAGAAGTTTACATGTCACTGCTGACGTTCGCAGGCAAGAGAGATGCAGACCTCTGCCCAGGGTCCTTCTCTCCAAACACATCTCACAGAGAAGTGTAATAAAATTCACAGAAAGGGACAGAGAGGCTCACCACACTCTGGGTTTGTATACATGTGCGATTTTCCGTAGTATGAAGTTAGAGTGGAATGCTTATGTGATAAACAAAAGTTAGTTTTCTTAAAAATCATCTTTTTTTAAAAAAAGGGAGGTGGGTAGGAATACTTTACAGATGAAAAATAAAGTTCATGCACTGGTTTTATATTTACCAGAAATGGTCTTAAACAACTTTTACCTGTTTCCAAAAGTCACAACTACCTTCAAAGGACCAAATTTTGCACCATGAAGGATAATGGCAATTCCAAAAGAAGCATTCTTAAAACATTTTAAGAAATATATATATATATTATATATATATGTGTGTGTGTGTACATATATATGTATGTACATTTATAAAGATATACATCACTTTAAAATAACTTGGGAGGGGATGGTATATTAGGATGTATTAGTTCTGAGATATTGATAACAAGCTGGGTTTTATTACAATTTTTCAGACATATATAATCATTTTATTTCTTTCAACAAAAATCAAAGTTCAAGTCAGAAATAGGAATTTGTGTAAATCAGTAAGAATGAGTATAAATTTCTGTACTATCCCAAGAATCTATATGATGGTACACTCCCAGCCACCGCAGCCTCGACTGCTAGGCTCCGGTGATCCTTCCGCCTCAGCCTTCCAAGTAGCTGGAACTACAGGCGTG